AAATAAATATAAAAAAAAACAGCATGTAATATGCTAATATTAATTAATTTAAAATTTTGTTTATTTCTTAATTCTAAAAAAAACAACTATTTTTATTGTTTTTCTTTACGCTTCTTGTTGTCATGGGAAACGAGTCGTTAGAATCTGAACAAAGCGCAATTTATGCAAGTTCTCTATGAACCACTTGCCAAATAATGTTTAATAAGAACTTATTGAAAAGTTGGTATGTGCATTAAGTACTTAAATATGAGCCAGGCACAAGCACTTAGCATCAATCAAACACTAAACAAGAGTTTAGAACGGCAGCAGCTGAGTTGCCAGTTGACATATGAGCAACAGGCAGCAGGAGCAGCCGCTGCCGCCGCTGGAGCAGTTGAAAAAGCCGAAAGAAGAAAGAACATTTTGCCGCCACACCAGGAGAAGCGGCTACTACACAGGAACTGGGAATGGGTAACCGGGTTGCCGGCTGACTAACAAGCGGAGGTAGTATAGCAGCAACAGCAACAACAGAGCCAGAACCCAAACCAGAATCAGAACCAGAAACAGAAAGAGAACCTCAAGCATTCAGAATTATGTAACACGGCATTTGCAAGTCAAGCCTGTGGGATGTCACTGTTTGGATAGACAGGCGGGACAGCTGAGCAAAGTCGCCGCCGCCGTCGTTGAACTTAATCTGCGAGCATGATTGTGCACTATTTGCAGAGTGGAGGAGCAAGTGTGCGCGTTGTCCTGGCAAGGTTGTTATGGACGCACCAATGTTTGTTTGTGCATGTAAACACGCCGGGCGATACGCCGAAAACGGGAAGAAACAACTAGAAAAACAAATTCCAGTTCGAACTCCAATTCCAGTTGAAGCAACTGAAGCAAGCTGACAATGATCTCTAGACGCGACAAATTGCTGCAGCTGCCCTGGGAGGAGCTGCGCTATGCCCAGCATCGCGAGAAAGTGATGTCCGCACGTCCGGCGATTGATACCAAGTCGCCCCGCCGGCACGACCACGTGCAGCGCAAGTGGAAGAAGCTGCAGAACGAACGGGAGCGCCAGCAGCAAATTGAACGGGAGAATCTGCGCCTGCTGCAGAAGCTGGGCGACATCATGAGCACCAAGCGCATGAACAATCTGTGGCTGGAGCCGCGACCCAAGTATGTATAGCCCTATCTAAAGATGCTCTACAATTCATTTGAACAATTTCCTCTAGTTTTTTGCACCGGGAGAAGATGTTTCATACGCGCCCCTACTCCAGCCTGCCACAGGTTGTCACCATCTACGGCGCACAGCCACCCGGTCCAGTGCTCTATGGCAGTATGCCCAAGCCATCGGTTGTGGGCCGCTGTCCCACCTGCAGTGGTAATCCCGAGCGCACACAGGTGGTCATACCGGAGCAGCGTCTGCCTTGGGCACCCTCGCGCAAATCCTCGAGCCGCAAGCAAAAGGACCAACAGCAGGAGCATCAGCGGTGCTATCAATGTGGCGGCATCAGGCGCATGGAGCGTAATCTCTTCGAGGACTACTCCTTTGACTATGAATAACATTTGAGCAGACAAATAAAAAGTGGCTACAAATTTATTAAACAAACGGCACCCACACTATCACGCCTTTGGCACATTGGGCGGCAGCGTGGCAAATGTGAGAAAGCCCGTGTGACCGGGCAGCACTTGGGGATTACTGGACGTTAGATACTTTTTCAGCTCCTTGGGCTCCTTCATCTTACTATCGTCATTCGCATTTGGCTCGCTGCTCTTGGGCGCCTTGAGAAACTCCAAATCGATGACGGGAAATGATCGAGTCTTAATCACGCTCTCCTGCTGCAGCACCTCCATCGAACAGATCTCATTGAAGCCCAGTTTGGTGAGCACATTAATGCAGCGCTGCGACTGCTCTATGCATGGGGAGAACGAGCAAAAGCGACCACCTGAAATTTATGAAAATATGATCTTGTTAAAGATTCGAGCCAAATAAGCATATGAAATCTTAGGCCATAGGCAATCTTTATCTCTAATTCGCCCATACTCTCTTGACGATATTTTCTCTATACATATTCCATCAATGCAATTTTGATTTCGTAATCTATCTTTACATACATCATAAATCTCTACGACTTTCTCATCATATTACATATCACAATATCTACATGTAGATATCCATACAAAATTCACATTCTTATACCGATCGCAGCTGCAATGTTGCAATGCGCATTTGGTTTCACTAATGAGTGACAAAGCTGCCCAACGGGCTGCCTGACCACGTCAACTGCCAAAAGCGGGCGCATTCAATGTCAAACACAATGAAATGGCTAAGATAGACGGACCGACAGACAGACAGACAGGCAAAGAGTAAGAGAGACAACTGACTGACCAACCTGGCCAGGGTCTTGATTGTTGCTGCTGCTGCTGCTGCTGTCGGCTGCCGCGCCAAAGGGCGCTGACAACTTGTTGTCATGCGGCGACTGGGCAGTCGCGTTTCACTTACCCGACAACTTCAACGCCTTGAATGCATGTGGCACTGCCAAATCTGGCGCGGGCAGATCCAAAAAGACCGCGTCGGCCACACCGTCCAACTCGCTGGTGAAGCCTAAATTGCACACATCTCGATGATAGACCGTTACAAAGTCGGCGAGTCCATGTCGCTTGAATTCGTCGCGCGCCTGATCCGCGCGCGCTTCATGGAAGTCGAAGGTGTGCAGGTGACCCGTGGGTTTCAGGGCGCGCAAAAAATAATGCGACAAGGAACCGGATCCGGTGCCGGACTCAACAACAACTGCGCCGGGACGTACCTCCAGCTGGTGCAGTATCATGCTTATGTCCGGCGTATATATGATTTGTGTGCGATGCGGCAACGTTTGTGTCCAGAGCTCGGGATTTGGCTGCAATACATGTGCATAACCTTTGGATAGCTCCACCCGACTGCCATACTCCACACCAATAATACCTGCCGGCGTAAAATGTTCGGATCAATTAAAGGTTTACTTGTTGTTGGACTAAGGACATACTTTGCACTTTCAGTGAGCCATAGGGCGTCTGGAAGATATGCGCTATAGTTTCGCCTTTCTTGTTTACTATCGTCGGCACCGCTTCTATGGCGTGCATGGAGTTCACGCTGAGATAGAGAATGACAATGTCGCCTTGCTCTATGTGTGTTTTGGGCTTCAAAAAACTCATTGTTATGGCTGATCGTCGAGATTGCCGGTTATTGGCTAGGATATGGCGAGAGGAACGGAGACGCGTGGGCCAACTAAACCGCGAGCGGCAACATTAATACCGAATTGTGTGACCAACATAATTCGAGACAAAAATACTCAAGTAAATTCATTTATTGTAAATTACTCGAAAATGTTTCAAACTTGTATTCATATAAAAGACACTCAAATATAAAATCTGATACAAAATTAACATGAAATAATAGTTTGATTACAGCAACGAACAACAATTAAAACAATAGTGTAGCCAGCTTTTGTAGAGTGTGCGAAAAATACTAAATTATATCTGAAGTCGCTTACCAACACGTTTTTTGTGCGACGAGCAGCCGACTTCGCGTTGATTTGCTTCTTCTTTCCCTCTTTTGGTTTTTTACTACAAGTATGTAAAGCTTGCTTTCTTTGAATTTGTCGAATAATCTGTGAACATCCTAAAAACGGCTTAAAAATATTAGTTAATTGCCACTCACGATTATTGACAAATATTCGTTCTATAGCATTATGACTTACTTATGTAAATTTAATTTTCTTTTTCGCACAATTTTATGCTCGATTGGAACCTGACTCTGTCTACTCTGAATGAACTCAAACTAAAACCAACAATTGAAACAAAAGCAGCCACAATATGGTCCAACGCTTGACTTTGAGGAGACGCTTGTCGTACAACACCAGATCCAACAGGAGACGCATGTATGTAATAAATCAGCAGTTATGTTGTTTTTGTAATCTAATAAGACGTTTGTTTACAGTGTGCGCACTCCCGGCGGTCGTCTGGTCTACCAGTACGTGAAGAAGAACAAGACCGTTCCACGCTGCGGTCAGTGCAAAGAGAAGCTTAAGGGTATCACTCCCTCCCGCCCAAGCGAGCGCCCACGTCTGTCCAAGCGCCATAAGACAGTGTCCCGCACATACGGCGGTGTCTTGTGCCATGGCTGCCTGCGTGAGCGTATTGTGCGCGCCTTCCTCATTGAAGAGCAGAAGATTGTCAAGGCACTGAAGAGCCAGCGCGAGGCGCTCGTCAAGCCCGTCAAGAAGGTGGAAAAGAAGCCCACCAAGGCGGCGCCTGCCAAGAAGCCCGCTGGTAAGACCGGCGGCAAATCCGCTGTCAAAACTGCATCCAAGAAACCCGCACCCAAGGGTGCCATTAAGTCCAAGAAGTAAATGTGCTTAGGATTTTCATTGAGTTAAGAATTGGACAAGGAAGCATTTTGTAATAAAGAAAATACAAGTTGGAAACTTTACTTTTTTAATTTTTGTTTCTGCTCATTGAATAATGGTTTGTGTCTAAGTTAAATTATCAGCTGGGCGAAGTTGGGCAAACAGCAGAAAATTTACCATTCACATTCTTAGTTTACAATCATAATCATGTGCAACTGCAGCAGCCATTCCGTCTATTATGTTTATTGATAAAGCCACGCAATTGCACAATATTTTTTACGTTTCTCTTGGTTTGTGTCTCAGCTAATCGAACAGCTGTTTTGCTTAAATTGCCATTCACCATCCAAGCAAACAAATTAATGCGGTTGCTAAACTTAAAAATTGTTGTCAGAATTCATTTATGATGCCACTTAAAGCGAATGTCAGCAAGCCGAACGAATCGTACGTCTATAATAAATTGTTGTAATGTCACATTAAAAACTAAATTTTACAGCACCATACGAGTGCCGTTCGATACGCCGGAGCATGCCAAGATTGCCTATCGAGTGTTGAGTGTGGATCAGGAACCGCGCCGAAACTTTGTGCAGAAAACGCTGAGTCTGGAGGCCGATGTGCTTGTTGTCCACTTTAGTGCCGACCAAGTAAAGAATTTACGTACTGCCATAACATCGTTCTTTGAGTGCCTGCTACTGTGCCAGGACACAATTAAACTGTTCGGCGAACAACCTGAAGCGACACCAAATAAGAATGCCGGAACACACTCCAGCGCCGACTCCACATAGAGCAATCTATGGATTTGCATTTTATATACTTTTCACGGTGCTATTCTTTGTATATGTGGCGTGGGCCTTTCTACCGGTGGAACTGGGCCTGCACTCCTATTTGCCGGACAAGTATTTTGCGGTATTCGTGCCAGTGCTGATTATGGTCTGTGCCTTCTTTGCCGTCATCATCTATCCGGCCATCAATCTTTCATTGACCCCCAATATCGATTCAATTGCCTCGGTTGTGGATCTCAAGCTGGTGCTGCCCAAAGGATCAGAGTTCACCTCCTGGTCGCAACTACAGAATCAACGCTCTGAAACGACACCCAAACGTAACCCGTCGCCAACCACCACCCTGTGCAATATGTGCAAAACGGAGCACGTAGCAAAGACTCGCTCGCCCATACCTCCACTTCGATTTCTAGATCTACAAGAAATAAACGCCACATACTACAACTAACAAAATTGCTTTTAATATTATTAACTTCACTTGCGACGCACTGTCGTCCAACCCTCCTCTGGCTCCACAAACTGTTCCGCTTGCTGTTTGCGGGTCTGAGAGCGGGTAACCCGCCCGCTGCTTGTGCCGGCCTCCTCGTCGCTGTCAGCTGCATTCATGGGATCTTCAGCACTTTCGTCATCGTCTTCCATGTCCTCGTCAGACGATGAGTCGTCGTCTATGGGTGTGTATGTAATTTTGACATCGGGACGAAGCCAATCCTTTCCTTGCGGTAATTTGCTAAGCTCCATTTCAATCTGCGGGTATTGGGAGGCCATTGCCATTTGTTTATACCGCAATAGATTGCGGCATATCTCGGGTATGGACTGATCGTCGCATAGTGTGTTGAATTCCTGATCCATCAGCTCTTCGATCACCTCCTGCAGCTCACCCTGCGTTATATTCTCATTACCCACACAGTATTCATATGTGTAGTCCATTATTTGTATGGCCACCTGCGAAATTGTTAGGTTACACTTGGTTTGAGAATTAAATGAAGTATTCGCATACCTGCTGCCCATTGCGTCCACCCATGCCATGCTCAACAGCCAAGCGTAGATTTTGCCAATTGTTGAATATTCTTTCAACAATTAAGCGAAAATTCTTTTGGAAGTCGGTTTGTGCCATAGCGTGCTATACCAGTGCTGTGCAATTGTGACTACTTACATGCTTGCCATTCGCATGTCAACGTAATTGCTGACAGCTGAAATTTTGTTTACATGTCGACGCGCGAAATAATGTCGGACAGCGAAAATGTGGAGCAAGCTCCAAATGAGCATGAGCTGAGCACTGAAGCTGACCTAGCCCATGCCTACGAGGGGGACGATGATGATGACGAGGATGCGGAGCCAATAACCGCACAAAAGGTGAGCTCTCAGTTAGTGAACTGAGAGACTCTTTTGTATTGTTATATTTTGTAATTGCAGGTTCTGGAAATTTTGGAAACCGCTTGGACAAACGAGATGTTTGCACCCGAACTGTTGCAGCACCAGTCAGACATGTTGGAGCTGATGATGTCACAAGTGGCTCACATGGAAGAGCAAATGAAGGATCTAGACAAGAATGACTTTCGTTACGTGGTGCATCAAATGGAACTGGAACGCATACGCTATATTATGGCCAGCTACTTGCGCTGTCGTTTGCAAAAAATCGAGGCCTTCACGCAGTACATTATCAATCAGGATGCAACATACGATGCAGCCGACAAACGACTCTCGCCCGAAGAGGCGAAATATGCGCAAGAGTTCGCGACAAATGTGGATGAATACTTCAGCAAAGTGGCCACACGGTACATGCCCAATCAGCAGCGGGGTGAGGCCGAGCAACGAATTGTGGCGCCCAATCTCATGAGCCATGTATTTCTCAAGGCTAATGTGGCAGGTGCGTGGGGCTCTTCAAATGTATGTTATACATTCTTCATTTATAAATTTAATTTGTAGTGTCTGGCGTTATTGTGGGCGTTGATGATGAAGAGGTGGATCTTACGCCAGGGTCTCAGCACATCATACCCTATCAACTGGTGGCCGATCTTATACAGAAAAACCAAGCGAAACTTATATAAATATCTGGGAAATACACATTCAATTTAAAATTATGATTTCCATTAGTGAACCAATTTTTCGCGCTCGAAATGCAGCCAGTGTTGGTATACGCGCATTGTTGCTGCCATCGCTTCTTCTTCTTCGCTAACAGCTGGCGGCTTAACAATGACGTCAGAACGTGTATTTCCAGTGGAAATTCTTAGGTACACACGCCACGACTTAGTCTCAGTTGTCAATGTGGCGCGCAATTACGCGGATACCAAAAACACTTGACTCTCTTGGCCAAGGTGTCGCAGTGCTACCTCAGCAGTTCCAACATTCCCAGCTGTACAACAACAACCACAATATCTGCAGTAAAACCAATTACCTCAGCTTACACAACCAAGCGTCGCTCATAAAACCCAAATACAGAATGTCGACGGCGAAGCCAAAGGTTGTCTTTGTTTTAGGTGGCCCCGGTGCGGGCAAGGGAACGCAGTGCTCGAAAATTGTCGAACGATTTCAATTCGAGCACTTATCGGCTGGCGATTTGTTGCGTGAGGAGCGCTCACGCGAGGGCTCTGAATATGGCCAGCTTATCGAGGAGTACATACGCAATGGCATGATAGTTCCCGTGGAGGTCACATGCTCGCTGCTGGAAAATGCGATGAAAAACTCGGGCAAGTCACGGTTTCTTATCGATGGATTCCCCCGCAACCAGGACAATTTGGATGGCTGGAACCGCCAGATGTCCGACAAGACAGAAATGCAGTTTGTGCTGTTCTTCGATTGCGCCGAAGATGTGTGCGTGAAGCGCTGCTTGGGACGCGGCCAGAGCGGCTCCGGCCGCAGCGACGACAACATGGAAAGCCTGAAAAAGCGTATCCAAACCTACAACAACGACTCGTTGCCCATCATCAAATACTTTGAGAATGCAGGGCAGGTCAAGAGAATTGACGCTAGCCCCGATGCGGACAAAGTCTTTCAAGAGGTGGAGCGCGTGTTCTTAGCCAATGGTTTCCAATGAAACTCCCTGCGGAATCGCCCATTCAATTGTTGACACTCTAGCTTGAATTGTGTGTGTTTTCCTAATACGTGTGTAATCTTAATTGTAAATCCCTCCTCCCTTACTTAAATATATGAATATTTACGCTTGTTATCATAATTAGCGATACAATCTTTTTGCGTGAGGGAATTTACGGGCATATCAATTTTAACAAATTTGTCACTTAAAAATAACAGCGTCTAGCATATAAAACGGCAGGTGAATACGGTGCTTAACTAATCCTTGCGCAGCTTGTCCAGGCGCGCTTGCAAATCGGCATCGGCATCGGACATGGGTGTTGAACCACCGCTGCCACCACTTGCACCGCCACCACCTGCGCCGCCCCCACCGCCAGAGGATGGTCCGCCGCCTGCTCCGCCTGCAGCAACAGCCGAAGCTGTTTTCTGTGCACCCGCTCCACCTGCTATTGACAGCGAGCCGGAGGCTGTGGGTAGATCGCCCAATTGCTCGCCCAGCTGTAGGCCCAGTTCGTCAAGCACTTGGGAGACAACAGCATCAGTCTCCTCCTCATCGCCCTCATCCTCCATGGCATCGTCGATGGCGTCGTTGATCATCTCCTCCTTCATATCCATCATCTCCGACTGCCTTTCAAAGTCCTGCAGTATCTTTTGTATTTGCGGGAGATTCAATTGACGATTCATGTTCTGCATGGCCTTGGTGACACCTGCGAAAATAACGATATCATAAGTAAATTGTGAATCATCAATGAAAAACCTTCTCTCCCCTCACCTTTCATTGCCTGGGCCATTGTGTTTTGAGATTTAAGCGTTTGTATTTTAAGCGAGACAGCCTGAATGTTGGCCTTCATGAGCATAAACTTCTTGGAATAGCGGCGCGTGCGCACTAAATCCTTGGCCATGATCTTGACCGCATCCATTTGGCCCTCTTTGGCCATTTTCTTGATGTCGGCAATAATTTTCTTTTCTTGTTGGTCCATTTTCATGCGCTCACGATCCAAATCACGCATTGCCTTGTTCAGAGCACGCTGATTCTTGCGGAGCATCTCATCCGGTGAGATCTTTTTGCCGAAAAGCCAATCCATTTTGCCAAATTAATAAAATTAATATTTACGTCTTAAGAACTGTGTAGGAATTAAATTCTTAAGAATTACTCATCAGAACAACAAATGATGGTCTGGTGTTGCCACTAAGTTGTTTAACAGAATTTCTTTTCAGTTAACAGAAAACTCCCATCATTAACAGGTTTTGCCTAGTTCATAAATTTTGCTGTTGGCATATATTAATTGTTTGTGGGTACTTGAGCTGCAAGTTAAATCCATTATTTTCATATTGTAATAATTATATTTATTGAGTACTACAATTAATATTCATAACTTGTTTGTGTATGGTAAATTTCTTTGCTCTGTGAGCACCATACTAGGCATTACGCCACGCTGCATCAATAATGTTAAGCTTACGTTATGTCGTTTGCGCTTACGTTAACATCTGCATAGCTCAGCTCACAACAACAAGTTTTGAGTTTATGTTTCGTTTTTCTAATCAACAATGAAGGAGTTCGACGATTTCAATTTTAGCGTGGATAAATGTAGGCGTTGTTGTCAATTAATCTGATTTGCTTTAAGCACATTCTTTTTTAATCCGTATAGACACGAAGGAGCTGACACGGGAGTGTGTGGGTGGAAGCGATTTGCAGCAGCGAAAAAAGGAAATCGAGGCCTACAATGAGCAGACGTCGGCAATGCTTAAGCAGACTTGCAAAAAGAACTATATGCAGTTCATACAAACGGCCAAGGAGATCTCACGTAAGTGGCAAATATTCTATATTAAGTGCTAGTTTTAATATGCTTATGTCTGCAGATCTGGAGTCGGAAATGTACCAGCTGTCGCATATTCTCATCGAGCAGCGGAACATCTTGGCCACCATGACCGATGGGAAGACCACAAGCAATCTCAAGGCGGACAGCATCGAGGCGGAGAGCAGTGCAGCTACTGAGGACGTGGAGAACAGTCAGGCAACGCGCGCTGTTAAGGAAATGGTGCAGGGCTTCAATGGGAATCTGGAAGGAAAAACGTTTTTGAACGAGGGAGCGCTCATTGAACTGGATGCCAATGATTACCGGCCCATACAACGCGTCTTCTTTTTTCTGTTCAACGATGTGCTGATTGTGTGCAAAGTGAAGCATGATAAGTAGGGGATCCCTAATTTATTATTTATTTTTCTGTCTACTTTTCATTTCATACTTCTCCTTGCTTGCAGACGCCTGGAATTTCTTACGGAATACGATCCCAAAAGGATAGCCGTTATCAATATCAAAGATCTGGACGGTGTAAAGAACGCCATCAACATTATAACGCCTGACGGCTCCAAGATATATCAGAGCATCACAGCCGCCGGCAAGAGCGAATGGATTGAGAAGCTGGAAGAGGCTTTTCGCTTTGATCAGCAAAAGAAACCAAAGAAGGGACAAGCGCCGCAGCCACCGAATCGATCCAAGCAACAGCAACAGCAAGCCCAATCCAAATCTGCCACGCCCGAAAAGTTGCCAGAACAAAGTCCCACAGATGCACAACCGAAATCCCTGGAGGATGAGACCCCCGAATGGCTGAGTACAGCCAGCGAGGAAATTCAAACGCTGGTGGCACAACGCCACTTCGAGGACGCACAGTCGCTGATCAAGCGCACCCAGGAGTTCCTGAGCATGGCCCAGCCCAAACCCAAACTGCTCCAGGCGGACGTAATTCAGGCTAAGATTAAGCAGCAGGAGCAGAAGCTGACCAATGTGCTGCTCCAGGAGCTGTCAAACAGTCACAATCGTAATCTGCAAATCGCGTTGCGTGAAGTTCGGCGCCCTCTCAAGATACTCGTCGAGATGGGTCGCTCCCGGCAGGCGAGCGCCACACTGCTGAAGGTCTGCACGGTCAGTTTGCGTGTGGCACAGCGTGAGGCGCGTCGCAACAATGCGGAAATATCTGAGCTTTTCTTCTGCGACTTGACGCAGGTGGCATGCGATTTCCTCAGCGCCTTTGAGCAACAGCCGGCCTGCGTTAGCGGTGAGTAAGCATATTTTGTTTGATTCCTATCCGCATGGTAAAACTTATTCCTGCAGCCCTCGTCGTATGGTGTAATGCGGAGCTGCAGTACTTTGCCAGCCAGTTGATCAAACACTACCTGACCAAGGGCACCTCCCTGGAGGCGGTGGCCAAGTGCGTGGAGCGCGTGCGCAAGCCGGCCACAAAGCTAACTGAGATTGGCCTGGACATAAGCTACCATTTGGAGGGTCTATTGCGCACAACGCTCGAGTCGCTCATCGAAGAGTCCAAACAGCGCCTGTTGGACGCCGTGGGTCGCACCGAGGAGAGCTGGCAGCCGTATAACTTGCAAACGAAATCCAATTTGAAGCGATTGCTGCTAGAGTTGGATGCACTGGGCATAGATGTGCGCGCCCAGACCACTGGCGATACATGGCTGAGCCTCACCCAATCCACCGTGGTATTCGTGCGCCAGTTTCTGCAACTGACCGAACATTGCGGCTGCCTGGCCAAAGGCGAGACGTTGCTGCAGAGCCTGGAGCATCTGTTGCGTGATCTCTTTTTGGCTCACCACGCGTTAAGGCCACCCAGCGATATGTCAGTGGATGTGAGTTGATGATTCACTACCCTTAAACATCGTAATAACTTGTAACCCATAATCCACAGCCCAACTTTGTGATGAAGAACAAAATCTTTCTGGTGGACAATCTGCTGCCCATTGCCATCGAGAAGTTCCGCAAGACATCGGGTCGCCAGTGCGAAACAATGCGGGAGCTCCACACGAAGCTCTCGCGCCAGCAGGGTGCTCCAGTGCCGCGCCAGCGGAGCGTCTACACGACCGATGTATTTTAGAAGTAGTCAACTTTGCTTTTGATTACATATATAATTTTTTATTTTTTTCGTTTTGCTTCAATTATTTATAATATAATTATATACATATATAACCACAATAATAATATTTGTAAAATTAAAAATCGAAGCGTGTGCTGCACTCTATTCTCTGTTATTTGCTTATTACAATTTCCGCTGGGCGCGAGGTGTGCCCACAATTAAATATATATATATTAATATATATGCGATTCATTTCTATATAAACTAATATGTAAACAAGTTTCTTTGTTAAATTATTATTATTTTTGCGTTTTGTGTTCTTGTTCTTAGCTGCACGAAACATAGGATTTTACAAATTTTTAAATTTGACAAAGGATTTTAATTTGCTTTTGATTTTTCAAAATTACATACAAGCAAAAGCTGGCTGCTTTGGCGCCCCCGACTACTGATGTATCTGTGTGTGTGTATGTGGGTGTATTTGTGTGTGCTTATGTGCGGATGTGTGGACGTGCTGTTGCGGCGGCGCCTGCTCCGTTTTTCTGTTACTGTCGTATTAATTTATAATGTAAAATTCTTAACTAAACTGCTTATCAATTATATTCATTTAT